GCATTACTGTTGTTTGCGAGAGATACATAGTATTTTCCCCTCTGTGTACTGTGCCTGTGTTTTTCCAGTGCTATTGCTCTGTAATTGTTGCTGGTGTGTGTAATTTGTGTGTGTGTCTTCTGGGGGAGAATATTTGGAATACGTCTAGGTGTGCCAGTGTTGTGTAAATACGATATATACGTGTGTAGTTTTCCCTCTCCCAGGGGGTATGTGTTATGTTGTGTACACCTGCTATTGCGAATGTGTACTGAAGCTTTAACATGTTGTGATTTAGAAGCAGTTTGAGGTTTTCCTCTTTTCTGTGCATGTTATAGTATACTGTTCTATTCAGATTTGTAAGCGATGGTCTTCAGGGAACACTCACTGTCACACTGAATACAACAGCAGGTACATTTGCTTCAGTGGACGAGAAAATAATACCAATTAGTTGATTAAAGAAAGCATATTGTCATTAAAATGCAATAAAAATAATTACTTAATCACATAATCTAACAGGGAATTTGTGTACACAAAGGCATGTCTGTGTCTTTCTTCCCACAGTTAGTGGACATGTAGACAACTGCTTCATCTTATTCAACATTTCCTTTTATTCATCCTCCAGGCTGCTTTCTCTCTCCCCGCCGAGCCACCCAGGCGAATACGCCATCAGCCACCAACGGGGACTCGTGCGCGCGTGTGCGGCAATGTCTTTCCAAAGGAATCAATGCGCAGAGGCCGCTTCCTCGAAATGCACACGCATGAATAAACCCGTAAATGTGTTCCAGTAAAGCGAAGGACAACGGGACGGGGTTGTTGTGCGTAAGGATAATGGATCTGTCTGTTATGTGGGCTAGTTTGTCAGCAGATATATTCCGAGGCTTTCACACACACGAAGGCTACTGGCCAGGTATACTGCCCGGTGGTCGATAATGTTGGTCGCTGGCGAATGAGGTTGGCATAATAACTGCTTTCATACCAAATGTCAAGGACACACAAGGGCTTGGTTGTTTCAGCTTAATGTCATGCTCGCACACATTCTTACCCTCATTCTCGACATTCTTACCCTCATATTCGACAGAGGAACAATACTTTTCCACTGTTGTATCGAAGCCAGCGTTTCCATCGTTCAAGCCTCCTCATTAAAGAGACGGAAAGAACGGAATTGGAGTACCTTCCTATGCATATATACTCAACCCTTTCCTCGAACTGCCTATAGTGTCGCGGCCTGAAGAAGTCCCTAAGACCGAGTGGTCGGCCTCTTCTTCTGTTGGGCAATGTGCTCAGAGCCAGAAATATTGCCGTGCACGCCAAGTATGTAAGAAACATAATACTTGTTATTGAGGACTTCTTTTGTCCATTTCTCAGAGTAATATTTTTAATGATTGTCATGTAAGTCTCTCTCTCTCTCATTCTCTCTCTCTCTCTCTCTCTCTCTCTCTCTCTCTCTCTCTCTCTCTCTCTCTCTCTCTCTCTCTCTCTCTCTCTCTCTCTCTCTCTCTCTCTCTCTCTCTCTCTCTCTCTCTCTCTCTTTCCATCAGTAAGTTCTCCGATTGGAGTTATCTACAGCAGAACGTCCGCAAAATAGAAAGTTTTCTCATGGCTGTTTCCTCGGCCTGTATATGACATATATTTCATCACAAACACTGGCAACTGCACGCCCGAGACGTATAAGTTGCAGAGCTCCCTCCTTCCAAGAAATCCCGAGAAAAAAGCGGACAATCTAAAAAAGAAAAATCCATTTAGCCTTTTTTATGTGCTAAAGTGCTCTGCCCAAGATGGGTCTAAACTTTTACGAAATATTATCGTGGATGTCAGAGAATTAAAAAACGCAAAATACAAAAACCGTTTAAACGCGTTTTGATTGCCACGGAAGTTCGGTTTTCTCGTTCAGAAAGAGGAAGGGGATCGAGACAGAAGGAAAAGAAAATGGAGGCCCTTTAGGCTATCATCAAAGGTGCTCTATTGTTACTACCGTGACTGTCTTTAATACGCCAGTAGCTTTCCTTTCTTTACACTGAACCCCCGTGGTTGTGTGTTGGTCCATGTCCTATAATGAGTTATAAATTTAGGGATGCCATGGATACGTTTAGAGCACTTCCACGGCTTCTAATTAATCTGAGTGTCTTTTTATTTCCTTCCCTTTTTTCACCTTTTCTTGGCCTCTGTAGGAGTCCTCTTCAATGCACGAATGTTGGCTACCAAATTTAATTAAATCACGAGTGGGAACGGTGGTCTAATTTCTCCCTTTTTTACCTGTCTCTATCCAGAAGGCTTTCTTGGTGCTTCCTTAATAACATTCTGGGCAAGAACAAATGTGTTATTTCTTTTACCATACTCTTAGGGTACAAAAATGTCGCGGCTTGTTTTGCGTGTGGACAGAAAATGGATTTGGTTTTCCCTTTTTTTTCTCTCAATATTACGGTCGTGACAAAACTAAGCGAGGAAAAGTGAAAATAGGCGAAGAAAAATGACACTGGAGTGAGTGTCAAGTGCTGACCTTCCTTTAGGGATAGCTTTGTCT